GAGACGAGGAAAAGCAACCCTGGTGAAGGCATATGTTGGTCCCGGCCAGAGCTGCGACTGCCTAAGAAAAGCACCACCCGTTGCAATGGAAGAGCGGGAGAGTCCAGAGATAGATGCATGGCAAGCTTAAGCCAGCTTCACGTCTTATTCTGGAAGAGGCCAGTTGTAGAATTGTGGAAGAAGACGTAGAATGGAAGACATTTTTTTGTCTATACAGAGATCGAGGATGTGGCAGCGGTATGAAAGTCGAAAGTTCTCATTGTTGCTGAGATCTCAAAAGTGCAGGCGGTGATCTGGCGAACCTTGTTGGGAGGTAGAGAGTTTTTAATTCTACTGAACAGCTTATCATTTGCAGACATTTTCCAGGAGAATGACTTGCAAATGCCACTGAGTGGCTTCAGAGGGGCACAAGTTTCGAGATGCATGAACGTGGGTACAGTAAACATGCTGATTTTGTTCCGTTTCAAAGTGTCACTTGAGTTATTTCTTCTCACAGCTCGATCATCTCCAGGAAATGATCCCATTCCGCAAGCCAGTAGCATAGCTTAAGTCTCCAATGTGGAAAATTGCATCTACGACCTCTTTTGCCATGGCATCAATAACTTGCAGTGCACCAGGCTGCAAACATAAATAGTTTGGGAGCGTGAAGTTGGCAAGATGTAAGAGTTTCTGAGATTTAACTTACTTGGATGTAATGCTCCAAGCTGTCATCTCGTTCGGCCTTTCCCATGTCTCCAAAGATTAAAAACTTCGTACAGTAAGGTCCTCCGGCCGGAGGAGTAGTGAACGTTTTCAAGTTGGACCAGCCAGAATTATCACTGCAAATAATCAGACTTTAGAGTCAGCACAGACGATGAAAGGAAACCTTCCTTACCTTCCATATCGGTATGAATATCTTGTATCAGGCCTAAGATTTGGCATTCGTGCAATGTGTACGAAACCAGGTCATGCCAACTGAAGTCCTTAGCTGGTCCCGAGACAGCATCTACAGCGGAAAAAACAAAATTAAAATATAAAAGAAGCCAAGAGAAAAATAGAAATCGACATCATACCACACAAATCTCCTCAAGTATGACAATTTCTTTCACAAGAAAAATCAGCCTTCTCATGCTCAGTATGCCAACAACATTTTCATCTAAGGAATCCTGTGATGAGCGAGATTCTCAAAAAAAGCAGGCATCCATGCAATGTGTGAATGGTAATTTTTTTCTTCTTGCTATCTCTTGCTTTATGAGAGCTCATGTTTTTGTGCATAGGGGAGAACATCATCCAGCCGTGTAGGCTGGGAAGTATGTGAATAGCTGGCAGACATCATTTGACGTGAAAGACAGATTGCCACAGTAAAGTTCTTCTTCCTTTTCCCTTTTCTGACCAGTTTCGCTTGCAGAATAGACTTGCTAGTGGATGACAACAATTTGTGGGCATCTTATGCTGGTCCCAGAGGCTGGAATGGTGAAATCAGTGGTTGGCTTTGCGTAAATTTCTCAAGTTCTCTCTTTCAGATCCCAACATACTCCAAGTGGAGAATGGTTGAATGTCCTTGGTTGAGTATCGTTCACATTTCAGCATTTGGTCTATCATGAAGGTTTGCATGCTCGTTTCTCATTAACCCAGACTAGAGTGCCTTGCCTCAGGCACCTCTCATCATTGGTTGTGAGTTGAGAACAATCATGAAAGAACACCTTCAAATTTACAAGAACACTGAGATAATAGTGGTAAATCAAGGTAAGTTTATGAAGATTGGAGCCACTGCTTTCTTAGTATCTTTCTTTTGACATGTAGAATACAGGGATGCAAAGTGGGCTGGATAGGACAGTTGTCATAGTGGCATGGAACAGAGGGTGGAAGCGAGCATTAATCAAGAACAACTGTAGATTGGAACCAGGTGTGACAGCAAGTGTGAGAGATTTGCGGAAAGTACACAATACATTACATAGTTCACAATTGATATATATCTTTGTTCTGTGTGGGTTATAGCACAAAGAATGGACTTCAAGGCAGGAGGATGGTTTTGAAGTGGAAATAGATTCCCACAACTGTGGGGTGTATATCTTGTCCAACATTTCCATGGCAGAAGTGTACTTTAATAGTGGAAGATGAACATGGGATGCCAACACCACTGATTTGTAGTTAAAAAGTAGATTTTAAATCTATTTTCCTTACTTCTTGAAACTAATATGTGTTTTGTCAAGGTGTTTTGCAAGTCCTTGCGTAAAATGCCTCAACAATTGGAGAGCATATAAGGACAGGAATGACAAGGGTCGCATTCATACAGCAACCATGTCGCAAAACTACATCAAGCAGAAAAACCTCTGGCCTTCAACTGTTTCTTTGAAAAAAACGAGTCTCGGAAGCATACCCCCGTGCGCATTTGATTGAGCCCCTCATTGGCAGTCACTAAAAGGTAACCATTCATCACTGCTGTGGAATCCAGGCTGCTTTCCAGGCTTCACTGGCAGCGATCCCATGGTAGTGGTGAAGATCTATGCTCGAGAGGTGAGCCAGATGATGCTAGAAGCGCTTGGGGAATCTGAATTGGAAAGATGAACAATTTCAGTCAGGCAGAGAGCTTTCCTCTGCCGCTGGGAACGTCATGCTACTCCAATATTTTCTTCAGTAACAAGAGCTTCGGCGGATTTCTCTCGAAGGTGAAATCCTCGCTCCTGGACATTTCTCAGACATTGTTGCTGGGCGGCCAGAGGAGGAGGCACTGGAGGCGATGCATACGCTTGTGCAGGCGTTTTAAACCTCTTGGACAATGAGAAGGCTGTGAGGACCTTCGTGCCGCTGCTAAAGTCCCAGGAATTGCTCAAGGAGCTCTCTTTCATGAACAATGGGATCTCCATCATGCTGTATGGGAGATCATCACCACCACCAGCTCTCTCAAGCTCTTCCACGTCCACAACAACATGACTGGTGATCAAGGGGCCAGATCTCTCGCCAGGCTCGTTGAGAAGGTTGCCCAGCTCGAGAACTTTCTCTTCTCGTCGACTAGAGTTGGGTGGCACTGGCTTCGGCCATGGCTGATGGAACCAACCTCAAATTTCTCGACTTGAGAGACAACAGGTCCTGGAGGTGGTGCTGTGCTTGGAAAATTTCAATCATGTTGAATCTACATACCGTGCCATGAAAAAACTTTCCCGGATTTTGTACATATTAAAGAGCGCTCTACATTTCCTAGCGCTGCTGTTGTTATCAGATATGCAACCAGGAAACGGGTTGTCAAATAAATAGTCTTCATGCTTTGGGACGGGAGTGGGAACTCTTAGAGCTGGACCTTTGTGCAGCATTTTCACTTGAAACGCAAATTCATCTCAAGACATATTCCCAGCTCCACAGCCATCAATGAGCCGAATAAGCTTTTGCCTGGAGGAGAGTGGAACAAAAGTTAAGGAATTGGAAAAACTATAAACATAGCATGAAGCCATGTTTCCATCATGTGTGAACATGAAGACATCGCTCTCAAGTGCCACTGTGTAATCCACAGCCGAGAGCCTGTTTTGGTACCTGGCGAGTGTTGAAAGCTCCTCATAAATTGCCAATGTTGAATGCAAGTACACGCCTGGAAAGATCTTCTTCAGCAACCTATCTATGAGAAATCGGTGATAGTCTTTCTACTACTGGCAATTCCTGTCATATGATTTCTTGTGTTCTTGTAACTACTGTTAGTAGGGCAGTGAGACAAAAAAAAACAAACAAACAAACAAAAAATGGGTTTAATGTCAGAGAATGAAAATGGCAAATGTGAGCAACATTCTTGGTAAGATGGAAAAACAATGCATACGTTGTAAGGCCCTTTTTTTATGATGGGAAATGTTTTCAATTGTGATTGTGACAGGAGAATAGCAACTGAAAAATCACTTCCTTTTCCATGCTTTCTCCAAAGACTATTAATTTTAAAGATTTAATACAAAATTATAGTAGTGCAGCATCAATGGGTGCAAACATTGAAGAGATTGCAGTAGGTGGCCCCAATTAATTTAAGATATATGAACAAATTTAACATAATATTGGAAGTTTTAAATCAAATAATGAAAAATATTTACAATTATATATTCTAGATACCTCTTGAGAAACAGAAATAAGAATGAAAAAAAAACACATTTCTAAATGCAATAAGCATCTAATGGGTGATCTTGATAAATAATTAAAAGAGATAAATCCCTATGCTAATGCATTCACAATGTTGTCAAAAATAGAGAATAAAGTGTTAAATTCAACAAAAATTCAAGGAGGTTTAAGTGATATTGTATCATCTTGGATCAGTTATAAAGCAATTAGATAACTGATCCAAGATGATACAATACACCAGGTTCAAATGATTTTAAACCCTAAACCCTAAACAAAAATAATTTTGTTGTACAAAGATGGTATTCATTTGATGAATAATTTTAACTATATCTACTATATACCATCTTTGTACAACAAAATTTTGTTTAATTTTAATAATATAGTATCAAATCAATTAAATACTCTTTGTTCTAATTTGAGTGATTCGATACTACATTGATCCCATAGTGAGAAATTTCATTTATAAAAGATCCAAGACTTCACTCACCAATCAGAGTTTTAATTGTGATATAATGTTAGATATTTATTATGTGATAGAGTCAATTTTAGAAGGGATTTTTTATATAAATATTATATTATTTTTAACTATGTATGTTATTTGTTAAAAATTACAATTACAATTACAACTCTTTGAAATTACTAAAACATCAGGAATAAACACAATGCTCCCAGCATAGTTGGGACTTTTTAGTTTCAATTAATTTTGACTTTTTAAACGAATATGCCAATAGGGTTTTCAAGGATGATCGACCTTGCTGATAAGTGTATCCAACTGGGTCTGCAATATCCAGATTCAATCGAGTGGCACAACTGGATCCCGGGAAGAGAGTATCACAAAATCTTATATGTGAGAAACAAAATTTATAAAACTCAAGTAAGTCTCTTCCTTTTCAATTTTGTTTAGTGAAGTCGTCGATTCAGGTTATACAATGGTGTGCTCCTCCATCGTCTCAGTTTTGGACGACTTACAACGAGCCTGTGAGGCTGAATGGGCTCGTTACTGTGGCCATTGGCGTTGTGTTCAGGCCCTCAAAGCTGCAGTGGTACGAAAGCGTGATCGAATTTTCGTCCACAAAGGTATTGTTTAGTGTGCCTTGAGCATTCCCTTATGAGATAATTTATTTAGGGAGATTTTTCCGTGACCCTGAGAGGAATTCCTCCGCTGGTATGCCTCAGTTTCCAAAAGGCCTTGTGGCTGGGATACTGTCCAGTGAATGATTTTACTGAAAGGAAGTTCATCATGAGGAACCTTGGTGATACCATCTTGACGGCGAGCTGGAAAGTCCATCTTCCTTTCACAATTGCTCCAGAAAAAGTCACTATAAATCCTGGAGATGCTCTCTTGGCTACCGGAAGGTTTGCTCCAAGGAAAGCTGGCCCGTACGAAGCTGTGGTAATTGAATGCAAGTTTCTCTTAAGGGGTTTAAAGATCTTCGTGTTTATTTTTCTTACTCTCAACTTTTGATTTTAATTTAGGCATTGTGCGGGATTGGTGGCATGTCTGTCAAGCTTCAACTGCATGGAGTTGGAAAGCATTCTTTCCTTACACTATCCCAAACGATGATAAACTTTGGATCTCTTTTCCTTGGCACTGTCAGAGTGATATACTTGAAAGTCACTAATAATTCTGCAGTTCCCTCATTTTATCGGCTAAAAAGACTTAATACTGATTCCGACTTCATGGTGGAGCCCGCAGAAGGAACTATACCAGAAGGATCAACACATTATTTAAAGGTAGCAATAATTGGTTTTTTACTATCTGCTTTGAACTTTCTGAGTCTTTGTAGCTAACATATAGACCTACTGTTGCTGGTTCGTGTCCCGTGGAACACTTCGACCTTGTTGTCCCACAAACCAGCCCAGTTTCGTTTACTTGCGTTGGTGGAGTATTGAGGCCAACAGTAAGAATCTCATCTTTTACTGTCAGCTTTGGCACTGTCGAGTCAGGGGGACACAGCTCACGCTCCATCACATTGAAAAATCAGACAGATCTGCCCGTACTGTTTCAATTTATGCCGGGTGACATGGGGGTATTCCAGTTCCATGAATCAAATGGCTGCATTGCTCCAAGAAGCACAGTGATACTGACGGTCAAGTTTAAGCCCATAGAGCCTGCCAATTACTACGTGCGTGTCATGTGCATTATCAAAGATCAGTATCCCTTATATTGTGATCTGGTTGGTACTTGCTACAGGGACATCGTGAGAGCATCAACTTTGATGTCCTACCATATAGATCGTCATCGACAGTCATTAATTGACCGAAAAGGAAAAAAACCCGAGCCTATGACTACAAACTTTTGGAGCTCCGACAGGACACAAGTTGCTGAGGGCGATGAGTCGGAGGTGGAAGATTTTGATCAATGGAACATGAGCACAGTATCAGAGCACGGTACAACGACGGTTCCTGATATGCTCAAAGGCCTTCTAGTGCCTCGAGAGAACAGAAAGAGTATGTTGGGGGACTTTTTTGTGGATTCTATTCCGGTTTTTTCCAAAGCTGTAATGAAAGCTAACGAAGTCTGGGACGAATATTTTAATGGGAGCATGGACGGATGGGACCCGGTGACCCTGGATGTGACACAGGTTGACTTTGGCATGTGTGAATGCAATGGTTCCTCTCGTACGAAGAACGTAACTGTGAAGAACAATTCCAGAGGTGGTCATGTGAACATCATCTGGGTGATCCGGGAACCGCATCTGGAGATGATCAAGCCAACGGGAGCCTATGTTGACAGTGACTTCAGCGAGATGATGTATTACAAAAATTTTGACCCGGTATTTCAGGTCTGCCCGCCGGTCGCTCGAATCAACGCTGGAGATCTGTTCACTTTTAATGTGACTTACAAGCCAAAGCTTCCAAACTTTTACTACTTCAAGCACATGGCTTGCTTTGTCTACGACATCAGCAGCTCCAAGGGTACATCAAACGTGCTACCGCCTTGGACTATCATTGGTTCTTGTTTTGGTCATACTTTCCATTCTCACTCATGGGAAGTTCGTCCAGAGGCATTCTTTGATCCAGGCAGAGTTGTGTTTCAACCAGCGCTGCAGGGATCATGCGTCTACCAAACTGTGGCTCTCCGCAACCTGAAACACACTGCCTTGAGGTAGTTTGAAGAAGGTAAGTCTATTTATTGATCATTTATGACAGCTGTGCAGATTTTTCTTTCCTCGGGAGTTCCTTTGGCCCGAGTTTTCACTGACTCCTATGGAGGGTGTTATTCCAGGTAATGGCTTTCAGCTTATTAGCTTCAGATTTACTGCTGGTCACCTGGGGTTTTTTGCCAACAAGATTATCTGTAGATTAAATCATTCAATGGTCGATGAGCTTCTTATCACTTTGTATGCAAGTTCTCATATCCCCAAGGTGCAAATGAAATCTACTTATGTCCAAACAATCCTGACAGACTGTTACTCCAGATGGAGGTTTCTAATGGCACCAGCATTTGTTTTAAGCCAACAAACATTGGCACGCGAGAACATTTACCAATTATCCTCACCAACACAAGTGACATTGCTTTGCAGTATGACTGCCTCGTGCCGATGGAATATGGAGACATAATTTCTCTCTCTCCGGCATCTGGAGTTTTACGAGGAAAGGAAAAGCAGGAGGTGATTTGCACTTTTAGTCCACTTGATGAGAAGTACTACTCGTTTCAAATATCCTGCTCCTACTCTGGTTGCATTGAGATGGCCTATTACCAAGAGCACAAAGTCCTGACGAGGAACTGTCCAACTCCCAAAACGGATTATTTCACATTGGACATTGATGGAGAGGGACTAGTTGGAGTTATCACTGTGGAGCCCGGAAGGGCCGACTTTGGGATGCTAGTAGTCAATAACCAATACGAACACAAGCTTAGCTTATACAATTCTACCAAGGGTCTCCTGGAATATGCTCTTAGCTGCCACTCATTGTCCATTACCTCAGACAAGTACTCGATTACTTTCGACGCTCCTACAGACTCTATAGCACCCAAATCATACAAGGACGTTATGGTGTTGTTTACGCTCAAGTACAATATACATTATAAGATGGACATCCAATGCAAAACGCTGGCTCCCACAACTGACGAATGTCTCGCCAAGCACAAGCCTGTCGGCACTTACACAACATGTGCTTTCTCGGCTGTTGCTGCGTATCCAGGTGTAGTTATTTCGGGGGTTAGGAGTGAGAGGCTCAGCGCTGCTCAGCTCTGGAGTCGCTTGCGGATAGACGACTTGAATCACGCGCTGAGCGAGCCTCCAAGACCAGCTCTTACGAACTCGGTCTACAAGTATCTTTTTGGCCTTGGAAAGCCACTGGACGACTTTAAGCCATTCATGCTCCGGTTCATGGCTCAAAATGTCGGACGGAAGCCTTCAGTGGTGCACATTGTTTTTACTTGTCGAGTTCCTCTCACGGTCTCATGGAAGATTCGGCTTTGGAATGACACCGAGGTTGACATAGAAAGCTGGGTAGAAGATGGCGAGCCAAGCGAAGAAGAAAAGCGACTGGTGCAGGTCTGGAAAATGAAGCTCTTTGAGGTGGAACCGAGGCGAGGGGTGATCCAGCCAGGCGAGGAAGTACATGTGAGATTCACCTACTACCACAAAATTGAAGGCTTTCACAGTTTCCCTGCCATTTTTGAGATAGAGGGTGGCTGCGTGGTCCAGTTGATGCTCAGTGGCAAAACCCTTCCTTTCTCACAGAAGATTCTGGGTTTACAGAGTCCAGCCTATACCCTCGTGCCCATTGTCATCGGAGACATTAATCCACCAGTCCAAACTTATGAGCTCCGGAACGATGGCTACATGGAACTAGTGTACGAGCTCGACACCAGCCCTCTGCGACAGATGCAAGACGAGAACCATGGGTTTCCTGTGCTCCAGTGCTTTAATCCCAAAGGATGGATAGCTCCTTCGGAATCTATTCTTTTGAAATGGCTCTTTCAGCCACTGGAACCAAAACTTTATTCAGTCAGACTAACTTTCTACGTCGAGGGTGGAAAGCAAAACAACCTCGACATCCAGGGAATGGGATTCAGCTCCACGGAGAGAGCCTCTCTCCGTTACACACAGCTAAGGCCGCCCTTTGGAAAAGCGTACATGTGGTCTGGGTTGCCGGCCAAGCTCTCAACTGAGTTCTTGGACTTTGGCCACGTCAAGGAGCTCACCCTTACTCAGAAGCTGGTGAGCATCCAAAACGTCTCAGATGAGTATGAGGTGTCTTACAATTGGAGGAACAGCATGGCAGCCGATTTTATGATATACGGTGACTTTGACGTGTTTCCTCGGAGTGGAGTTATCCAGCCACAGGAAGAGATTCTATGCAAGGTGAGATTCAGGGCCGGGATTCAGCCTCAGTACTTTATGACAACTCTCTATTGCGACATTGCCGTCGTGAATTTGGAGCCACCTCCCCGGCAAGTTCTTATCCAGCCATCGACTCCTGAAGAAGTGATTGACAGAGACGGGTATAGACTCGGCACAGGAGTTTACAACAAAATGTTCAGGCACATTCCAGTCATTAACCAGTGTCCTGAAGGAATGCGAGGCAGGTTACCACACTTTACACCCAGGCCCCTGTCAGCACTGCCGACGCCACCCAAGATTGCTGTTCCGCCCGACCAGGTTCTTTTTCTCACTGTCAACACGGAAGTGCACACGGCTGAAAAGTTTCATTCGACAAGCGAGCGGGTTATGAAGGAATTTATCTCCTTTCGGGACGACCAAGATGAGAAAAGGCTGAATGAATCATCAAGAGAGGTCCAATCAGAGATGGCAGGTCTGATGCTCATGGAGATGCTCCAAGAGTTCCTTTTTGAAGAGGCCAAAGATAGCGACCAGAGCTCCTTCCGGGCCTTCGATGACAAGCGAGTGGTCTACTTTGAAGAGATCAAAGGATTGTCAAGCCAGGGAGCTGATTGCACTAAGGCAAAGATAAAACTGGACAAACTTGACTGGGAGGATGCTTTTAAAGTGACTCAGAAGAACATGGTGGAACTTGTTCTGGACAGTCTTTTATTTGGCACTGTCAAGGATATGTGTGAAAATAGCTTCACTAGCTGCACCAGAAGTTCTAGGCAGTGCAAATAGAATTACATTAGCATCAAATTAAATGAAAAAAATTCGTATATTAAGCTGAGAAGCTACACAATTCACACAATCAACAAAAAGGTCACTTTATTTCAAGAAGATTTTAAACCATGTCAAGGCATGCTGCTTGCAAAATGGTTATTCTTCCCGCAGTTCCAGTTAACACACTCAATTTCATCGTCATGGATTTTTCGACTTTAAAGGATTCTATCATCTTTGGAGACCCTTTCGAAGTACAATTTATCGAATTTTCTATAAAATCAATGGATGCACCTTGTTAGTCTTCACTGACATCCTAGAAAGCCAGTGCAAGTAGAAGCTACAGCTAAATCTCGCAGAGCCACCATAGCCAACTCTCTTTCTTAGAAAGAACCCCGATTTTCAATTCCTTAAATTGCTTTCACTTTCTTATACTTTATTTTTCTGATTCCTCATAATTTCTGCCGATCCCTTGACCTGGCATGGTTGCATAAACAAATCACGATAAATGCACGAGCGAGTTGGGAAAGAAAAACGCAATTCCTCGTATTACTGCAAATGTAATGTCTCAAAGTCAAAGAAAAACAGGTGTACAGAAAGTCTAGATGTTGAGCAGTAGAGGTGGCTCTGGCTCTTTTTTCTCCTCTGCTTGTTGGTTCGTTCTAGCAGTGACGAGGTTTACTAAACTTGTCTGCCTCAAGATAGGTGCAATTCCTCCAGTTACACCAAAATGTAACGTCTCAAAGTCAAAGAGAACATTTGCCTGACCTGCATAAGAGAAACAACAGGTTACATTGATTCATGATACGCAGATAATGTTTTCTTTTGCAGCTTTTTCTACTTGCTTTTTTCATCAGTGGATCCTTGTGAAACACGTTCACCATGCCCTTGAAGGCCTCCTCTTTGTTATTAGCATTGCTGTTGCTTGCTAGCTTTGTCAAGAGTGGTGGGAAGCCCAACTCTACTGCGTTAAACCTAAGAATGTATAACTGTTAAAATGGTTTACCATACTGCATTTTATTAGGGGGTTCTTTAGTCACTAGCCAGTGCAAGACATAATGAGATGGGAACTCTTTATCAGGCTAAGCATACTTTACACGGCTTGACAAGTTTATGGATTTTCTATTCCTTAAATTGCTTTCATTCTATCAGAGAAAACCGTGCAAACATATTTTATACGGCTTGGTATCTAGCTGGTAACTGATCGAGGTTTATATGTTATCTCAAGTGATCTGATCTTTTCTCTTCTTTTCTGTCTTGCCTTCAACTAAGGCAAAAAAGCCGGTGCTGGTCATTGTGCAATGTGCTTATTTTTTCTTAATTCAAGAGGATTTTTCCTTTGTGCTACTCCTGCAGTTTTTCTTAGCACTGATTGTGATTTATTTGCAAACTTATTGTGATGTTCATGGCAAACTTGGCTGCGACTGTAGCCTCGTGATGTGATCCTGAGTCGTGTGATCTTTACTTCCATCATGGAATACTTTGAAGACCGGTCTTGCTCTTCGTTCTCTTTCTCTCCCCTTCTTTTTTCTTCCGTTATTCCAGGAGTGCCATGCTACTATATCTGCCCACGTTTTTGGGTGGGTAACGGGCAGCATAGACCTTTATTGTTCCTCAGCAGCCGAGGATGCAAATTCAAGGGCGACTTGACTCTCTCAAGTCTCGGATATGACAATTGCATCGTCATCCAGCTTCGTCAAGCTTCGACCTTCCTGTTCTGGTTCCTGGAGGCGGGAGGAGGATGGTGGTCACTGCACAGTTGGCTGTGATCGACAGCAACTTGGCAATAAAAGGCGTGGCGGGAGCTAGGGCTGGGAGAGGATGATCTCGGGAACAGAACCGAAGGTATAATGAGTACGGGGGATCCAGATCCAAGCAAGGTGAGAGTTTTGACCTAGCATGGACTCCAGTAAGCCTCGGCCAGGCTTACGCCCATTTTATGGTGGAGATGAGAGGCAATTCATCACATCTGAGCTTGGCATACTGGAGTCTATAACTGAAGCTTGCTTTCTCTTTTTTACCTGGTTGAGCATGAGGGCCTGCGGACATGCCTTGCCTAGTAACGTGCCTATGTGAGGGACACATGGCTGAAGGGACTCTCATGGACAGCCAGTGTGACCAGAGAGGTTTGGTCATAGGGTATGGCATCCAAAGGTTGGAGCCACCCCACATCCAGCCAGGGCTGAGGAACGAGCTGGGCTGAGTAGGCCAGTGAGGGGGAATCTTGGTGGTCCACGCCAAGTGCTGTGGTACCTTTCTTGTCTTGCATGGACTGGGTGGTGGACCTTCTTTTCTTCATAGCTTTGGTGTGACCACAAGGGTGTGCTTAACCTCACATGAAAAATCCCACGTAGGAAGCATGGCATCTCCACTGTCATGAGGATTGGCATCTGGTGTTATGATCTGGTGCAAAAAAGCAAAGATTTAGCCGCCCTAGACTATGCTATGCCACCTCTTGAGGTTCCTCACCACTGTGATCCCTAGGGTAAGTGAAGCCCCTTACCCTAGCATGCCTTAATATACCCTTGAGCCTCCTTTTGACCAATGTTGACCACGTGGTTAAAGTTGGTGCCTAACATTTGGCCACATAGGGATTCGAATGCTCCACTCCCTCCTAGAGAAAGGAGGATATGCCTGACCAGTTGTCTAAGGAACCACAAGTGGAGGGCTGCTTGACAAAGCTGGCTGCAGTCATGGTTGCACTTCTGAAGGACCCCCAAGTTTCACAGTGCTTGGGCAAATTACCAGCAGTAGTGGGAAACGTAACAACTGGAAAAGAGCTCTTCCACCCAGAAGTTTCATCATTGGCTTGCATCAAGTATCCCATGTATAAAATGGGAGAAGGCTTTGAGATCTACATAGAGATTTTTGAGTATGCAGGGCATAACAACAAGGTGGCCAGACAAGAGAAGGACAATGCATTATGCATTGTGGAACAAAAACTCTTTATGGCTTATCAAAGTGGAGTCAAAGAAGAGTCCTGGGACAATGTGGCCGCTGTCTCTTCCAGCTTGGACAGCCTGCTGAATGTACCTTCCTCACAATGAGGGATCACATATTCAAAAGAGGCAAGTCAGTGCAACAGTACTGGGCGGATGCTAAACAATGATGCAGCAATAACAGAGGGTATGGTGTTTTATAGCAGGTTCCCGAGTGATATCTTTCAAGTCATCTTCCTTTTCAAATGCATTGGACTTGAGGACATGCTCCACATGGCTGACAAAACAGTCAAGGAATGGAAGTGAAGGTTGTCCAGGTGAAGGCTGCCATAGTAGACTTGAGAAGCAACTCAGAAGAGGAAGACTTAGAAGATTTGAATACTTTGAGGTGGCAGCTTGATGCAGCAAATACAAGGGTGGTAGAGACACCCAAACGTCACCCACAGCAGAACATGGGACATTTTGGGCTGTGGTGTTTTGAGCACCACAATGCTCTTGTCCTGGGACATATGTGTGATCTTGTGGCCTGCTAGTGTCCTCAGGAGGAAGTAGTTGTATAAGGGAGAGTTTAGAGCTACCTGAACAAGATATTTCCTGCGCGATCTTCAGCAAGGTGTGGATCACAAAGAAGTTTGTATTTTTTTTTGCATTTGAGGATATATGAATACACAAAGAAATACCACTAAGCAATATGGAACATCTTCCAAACTTATTCAAACGATTTGTGTATAAATTAAAATATTGTGAAAATAAAATAATATTCTGAAATTTTTTATAATTTTTCTATATAAAAAATTGTCATGGAATAAAAAATAGCTAAATATATATATTATAAGAATTTTTTCATTCTGAAATAATGTCTCATGCTTATCAAAATTTAAGCCAAACTGTAAGATAATCAAAATAAATTATTATATAAAAGACTATTTAGCAAAAAGGTTGTAACAATTAAGTTAAATTAATATTAATAAATATATTATCTAAAAAATATAAAGAAAATTATAAAATACCTAAAAGTTTATTACATTTTATGTTACTGAATGTTTCATTATATATTGATTAATTTTAGCCATAAGTGTTTGGGTCCAGATAAAGATTCAATGCTATGTTCTGTCATTGAAATATTTTCAATATATATAAAATTTACTAACAATTTCATAAAAATAAATTTATAATATTATTTATTTTCTTTCATTCATAATAAAACCACTGTTAGTAAGAACTGAAATTATCGTTTTAAATATTTAGAAAATCACATAATAAATAAATTAAAAAGAAAACATTAATACAGTTAAATAATAAATATAAATATATTTTTCTATTTACTATATATTTAGAACTTACAGAGATCCTTATCAACTTTTAAATCTTATTTTTAACTACTGTATTGTTTAGAATATTTTTGTAGTACACATAAATATTTCATAAATATGGATGTACAAAATAATTTTGCATTCCTATTATTCAGCATTAAAATAATATTAAAAAAAATGTATACTTTATAATTTGGTAAAACAGTATTAAGCACTATATATTTATAAATATCTTATATTCTAAATATTTCCTGCTGTATATCAGCATATCAGGATATTTCAAAATAAGGTGTAGTGATGTTAATAGAAATCAAAGTTAAATATATGGATGAGGAAGTACCCATGTTTCAATTAGCTGGATGTTAGAGAGATTTTTGATATGATTGATTGCTCATTACTTGGTTTGGGTAATTCCAAGAACATTTACATACTTTCAATAATGAGCATTGAGATTAAATAATATCAACTTTATATATCATATAGTACTCCTCTACAAAATCTAGAGTTTTCTAAATTATAGATAAATAAAAAAATCAAAGGCTAGAATGGGTGAGTGGATATCCTTATGTTTAATCATCATATGACTTGAGAATTATACTGTATAGAGCTTTAATTTTTGAGAATTTCTTTCATGTAATGCACTGATGAAGAATGGCATTGAGTTTTTCCTTCTAGGGTTTTGATATAGTCTTTCTGGATATATTAAATGCATAACTAAATGAGGTAGAAGCAAAAACATTTGGTAGTGACATTATTTCCTTATAATGGT